GAAGTAAAGAAAATGTGGACCCAGGCATAGTGATGGAACAGCTGTAATCCCAACCCTTAGGAGGCAAAGGCAAGAGGTCCCAAATTCTAGGCCAGCCTGGGCTATAATAGCAAGACTGTCTCAAAAAGAAACCTAGAGAAGTGGGGGGAATTGGTCCATCTAAGTGACTTCCTTTGTCTCTTTATTCCTTTGGTTGCAATTTAAATCTCTCCTCCTGGGTGGTTCTGTTTTTTTTCTTGAGACTGCCTGTACCCTTTTCCCCTGTGCAACTTCCATACTAATTAGAAGAGCTGGGCCAAATATGAAGTAAGGTACCATCAAATAGAAGGATGGTGGGGGTTTGAAACTGATGTACCTAGGCTTAACCTTGGAAAGAAAAAATAAAGTTCTAAATCAGTGCATTCTTTTCCAAGTATAAAAAAAATTCATGCCGAGCATGGTGGCGTATGCCTTTAGTCCCAGCACTTGGGAGGCAGAGGCAGGTGGATCTCTGTGAGTTCAAGGCCAGCCTGGTCTACATAATGAGTTCCGGGACAGCTGGGGCTACAGGGAGCCCCTGTCTCAAAAAAGAGCAAAAAAAAAAAAAAAAAAAAAAATTCACGCTGCTGTAACTTCTAGTTCTCTGGTGACCTTTGGGATCAGAATTGCTCTATTTAAAAGACATGGCCCAGGAAACAGTGAATACTAGAAATAAACTACTATTTAAGTCTGTAAAAAGCAGCAGCTCCAATTGGAATATCAGTAGACCATCAGGGGTATAGTTTTAAATAGAAATTTACTCTGGCCAAAATTCTGGTGGTGATAGTCCTTGTTTATGAGTGCTTTCTGGATCCACGGTGCTGCCTTGAATACAGAGGACTAGAATTGTGTTGTTACTTTGTACATATCAGGTGTACTTTGTAAATGTAGGAGGCTTAGGAAACTACTTTTCATGCTTGAAATGAAATGGGAATTTATTGAGGGCCATAGCCAATCACTTAAAACCTTGTGTGTTTTTCTCAGCACTAATAAAGAAAATTCCAGGACAACCAATATTACAAGAACTATTAAGAAAAATAAATTGAGGGGCATTTTAAACCTTGGCTTTGAAGAGAATGTATCATTAAATCCTGAAACCTGAAAGTGCTTAATAACAGCATTAGAATATGACAGATAAAGCCATGCATTTAATAGTACTTGTTTTTTAGCCCTTATTCCCTTTGGATCGTGAGCCAGATTGTTGTTTGTTGTTTTCAGTCTAGCAAGGGAAGTATGCATTCATTTAATACATACTGAACTGAATTCACTGTGTGCCAGACAGTGTTGTAAGCATGGAGCCCTCAGCAATAAATGATGAAATCCAAGCCACCTTTTTAGTTTGTTTGTTTATTTATTTATTTATTTATTTATTTATTTATTTATTATAGTTTTTTTGAGACAGCATCTCCCTGTAGCCCCAGCTGTCCTGGAACTATGTAGACCAGGCTGGCCTTGAACTTGCAGAGATCCGCCTGCCTCTGCCTCCCAAGTGTTGGGACTACAGGTGTGCGCCACCACGTCCGGATTTATTATTTTTTTTTCATGTGTATGAGTGTATTGCCCGCATGTAGGTAAGTGCACCCATGTTGTGGATTGCCCGTGGAGAACAGAAGAGGCTATCGGATCCCCTAGGACTGGAGTTACGGACAGTTGTGAGCTGCCATGTAGGTGCTGGGATTCAAACCTGGGTCTTCGGCAAGAACAACCAGTGTTCTTAACTGCTAAGCCATCTCTCCAGCCCCTTGAGCCAAGGTTTGAAGCAATCGATAGAGCACAGACACCCTAAGTCAGGAATTTTCTGGCATGTTCTAAGAGTCAAGACCAGTGGAGCCAGGCATGGCAGCACATGTTTGTCATCCTAGCACTCTGGAGGCAGAGGCAGGAGGAGGCCAGCCTGAGTTACACAGTGTGAGACTGTCTCAAAAAAGGGAAAAAAGAATGATTAGTGTGAGTAGAGTGGTGTCAGGGTGGAAGGAGCAGTGGAAAATAGAGGTGCAGGGTGGGTGGGACCACTTTGTATGTGCTGTTAAGAGACTTCTGCTTTCATCCTGAAAAGGAAATGGGAGGAATTTTGAGAAAAGTTAACATTTTAAAGCATCCTTCTGGCCTCCAGGTTGAGTTTTTGTTTTTGAGACAGGGTCTCAAACTCAACATTTAGCTGAGGTCCTTGAACTTCAGAAGTGCTGGGATTACAGGCATGTGGCACCATGCCTGGCCTTGGGTTGATAGTAGACTAGAGATACAGGTTTTGATGGGTTGACATTGGCAGTCTGGTTTTATAGAAGTTAAATTTCATGAGCCCCCTAAGGACAGCTCAGTAAATGCATAAAGTAGGTAGTTGAGCCAAGTGTGATGGTGGATACAAATGATCCCAGCACCTTGGGAAGTTGAGGCAGGAAGATTAATTGAATTCAACACCATCCAGGGAAGTAGCACCTGCCTCAGAGAGGAAAAAAACAAGTAGGTGGTGGATGTGTAAGTGGAAATCAGGGAAAAGATCCAAGGTAGTGACATAATGTGGGTACTTAAAACCACAGGACTGGATGAGATGACCAAAGACAGAAGTATGGAAAAGAGAACTAGGGCACACCAGCATGTAGAGTTAGAACAGGTCCCTAAGGAGGAACCATCAAAAAAAGGAAGTAGCTATGAAGAAGGAAAACCAGGGTATTATCTAGAACTGGGCCCCTGAATACATGTAGCTCCTGGCCACATGTCACTGTTTACTATAAAATCTAAAATTCAGTTCCTCAGTCACATTAACTACATTTTACTTGGCTAGTGACTCTTAATTTGGGTGGCACAAAGAACATTCCCATCACCCGTGCAGATCCAGGCAACTGTAGGACATACCTCAAGGATATGGTATGAAAAACTGTTAGTAATTTGAGAATCCAGACTTGTCCATTGGATTTAGTGAAGTCCTGATTTCTTGGACTTACTGACAGGAGAACGGTTTTGATAGAGTAGGAGGCAAAAATCTGATAAAAGCATATTCTAAACAACCTGGGGAGGATTTGAAATCAGGAAATGTAGACAAGACTTGCAAATTGTTCAAGTGAACTTTCTGAAAAACATTTGCTGATGCTGTTCCAAAGATAACACTTGAATCTTCAGTGAATGTTGTACTACATAAAAACACTATGGACCAGTTTTTTTCAACCCAATAGAAGCATTTGAAGTGTTTAAAACACAATTGCCTGGGGCTTGCATCATACTAAATGTATGACGATTTCCAAGCACAGTCCAGGGACTTTATATGTTGGAGAATTTGCATGATGGCACATACTTGATGCAAAAATAAATAATGCAGGATCTGGAGAGATGGGTCAATGGTTAGCAGCAATGACTGCTCTTGGAGAAGATTGGGGTTCAGTTCCTAGCCCCTGTATGGTGGTTAATATCCCTCCATAACTCCAGTTTCAGTGGAACCCATGTCCTCTTCTAACTTCTGTGGGTACTGCATGCTCGTGGTACAATTACATACAAATAGGCAAAATCTTTATACATACAAAATAAAAATAAATAATGCAGTATTATGGAAAGTGCTTTTGCCAGGGTTTTAGAGACTGAAGATCTTAAATCCATGAAGAGGGAAGTTAATACTAGATGATCTTAATATAAAGATCAACACTACCCATGACGTTCAAACTGCTTTTGGGGGCGGGGGGTTGGAGACAGGGTCTCCCTGTAGCCCCAGTTGGCCTGGAACTCACAAAGATCCGCCTGCCTCTGTCTCCCAAGTGCTGAGATGAAAGGTGTGCACCACCATGCCTGGCCAAACTGCTTTTTTTAATGGGCGTAGTTACTCATGTGAGAATTTTTATCTCATGACTCCACTTCCCCAAAGAAAAGCTTTATGTTCATTGTAAAGGTTGTGAAACAGAATCCGATTCTATACTTTAGATAATTAAATTTTTACTTTAAAACCAGTAACGTCTTAAAATGCTGGGCGTGGTGGCACATGCCTTCCCAGCACCTGGGAAGCAGAAGCAAGTGGATCTCTTGAGTTCAAGGTCAGCCTGGTCTACATAGTGAGTTCTAGGCCAGCTGTGGCCAAAGGAGACCCTGTCTCAAAAAGACCAAAAAAAAAAAAAAAAAAAAAAAAACAACTTTTTTTTTAAACTAGGAATGATCCATGTTTTGAATAAATAACTTTTAAAAAAAAGCAAATTTGGGGCTGGAAAGATGGCTCAACAGTTAAGAACACTGGTTGTTCCTGCAGAAGACCCAGGTTCAGTTCCCAGCACCCACATGGCTGCTAACAACTGTCGGTAACTCCAGTTCCAGGGGATCCAACAGCCTCTTCTGACCTCCGTGGGCATTGCACAACACAGGAGTACTTACCTACATGCAGGCAATACACGCATACACATAAAATAAAAATAATAAAATATTTAAAAAACAATAATAATACAAAAGTAAAAGGGGTTGGACAGATGATGGCTCAGCACTTAAAAGCCATTGCTGTTCTTGCAGAGGACTCAGGTCCAGTTCCCAGCATCTACATGCCCACTAACAGCCATCTATAATTACTTTCAGGGATCACGTACCCTCTTCTGGCCTACTTGCCACCAAGCCTGATGACCTGAGTTGAACCCCCAGAACGCACTTGGTAGAGCCAACTCCTGAGGGATGTCCTTTGACCTCCACATGAGTACACACACACATGGTACACGTACATGTAAGTAAAACATTTATACACAAAATATTTTTCAAAAAATTTTAAAAGCAGATTAACCTTATCTGAAGATTAATGATTACATGTGGAAATACTATTATTAATCTAATTCTAAAAAGTAATTAAGGGGCTGGAGAGATGGCTCAGTGGTTTAGAGTACTGGCTGCTCTTACAGAGAGAGGACCTGGATCCAATTCTCAGCACCTACATGGCAGCTAAAAACTGTCCATAACTCCACTTCCAGGGCATCCGACTTCCTGTTCTGACTCTGAAGGCATTGCATGACACAGGTGTACCTACACACATACAGGCAATACACTCATACAGATAAAACATCTGGAGGTAGAGTAGATCCTGCAGTTTTTGAGACAGTTACCTGTTTGGTCCTTTTGGTTAAATTTTGCTGTGGGATTATTAGTCTTTCTGGTCCAATACAGCAAAGTGAGGTTCCTAGGAAACTTGTAGGGCTGGGTTATCCATGGTTGAGAGCTTGGCCAGCATGTGCAAAGGCCTGAGTTTGATCTCCAGCACCACAAAAAGCGAAACAAAACTTAACAGATGTGTAGTAGCTCATACAAAGGTAGGAAAACTTTTCACTAACAAATATTCTCATTTCCATTTTGGGGCACTGCTAAAATATTCACCATTTGTACGAAGTATGGTGTTTCAGAGGCTAGAACAGGCAGAATACCTATTTATAACCCTGGCTCTGCTGCTTAGTAACTGTGTGACCGTTGGCAAACTGTTTCCCTGCCTCGGTTTCCTTATCTGTAAAACATGGAGAATAAACTGCGCTATCTTATAGAGTGGTTAGAGCTTGAATTAATCATCTAAAGTTCTTACAGGGTCCAAAATAGTATTGACCAAAAAGGCCATAATTACTACTAAAATAGTGCAAGATATTTTCTGGTATTACCATAATTGTATATCCTGACCTCACCCAGAAAAAAAAAAAAAATCTGTTTTTTTTTAGTTATATGTACTGGTATCAGACACTGGTATTACAGTGCAAATGAGGTATAAGGATCATATAGTCTTCTAGAGTTAGCATGGGCTGGAAAAGAATGAGAAAGATGATGGCAAGATAGTAGCTCTTAGAAGGGTGTGATCCTGATAAGGAGTAGATAGATCACTGTCTTCTGTGGGTGTTATTTCTAGACTTCCAAACATTCAGTCTGTTCTGTTCCCAAGTAGTTTCTCCATGGTAAGAGCCCAAAGGTCTGGATTCAATCCCCAGCACCCTACCCGCTACCTAAAATAAGTAAATTAATTAATTAAATAAATTTATTTTAGTAATTTTATACCAATCCCTTGTAAGCTGAAAGCAAATAAGCCTTAGATGCAACAGGATGAATCTGTGTTTCAGTCAAAAGAATTTAAAGCAAGCCAAGTAATTGTATAAAATTTAAATTTTATGACCATGGTCAGACTTTTACACCTAACACAATGGAAATACTCATATTCATTTTTTCCTCAACGGAAAAATTTCTGAATCATACTATGTTGCACATAGAATAGAAATAGAAGTTCAGGTACTCATTCAAGTGTCTAAAGACTGCAGATAACAAGACACGATTTTACCTACAAAATCTGAAGTCATCAACATGATTCTGTAGTACTGTATTTCAGGCTTTACCTAAAAGTCATTATTAAAGTAGTCCCCTTGTCACATTTTCATAAAAGCCTCTGCCCCACCACAACTTCCTGAGCATCTGTAAAGGAACTGCAGTCTTGTGATCGGCCTCCATGTGATACTGGCAGTCTTGTAATCATAAGGAAAACGGTGACTGGTTTTAAGTGTCAATCAGTTGTAGTCTGCTGATCTGATTAGAAGCCTTGACAAATGCTTGGTGGCGATTGCAAATGACAGCCAAGCATATGGGGATGATACAGTAGCCCACCGTTTTAGGATCAGCTCTTGTACAAGAATAAAGGAACAAAAACATCTGTAAATAAGGTATCAGAAAAATAACTGTCCACAACCAAAAAGGCAGGGAAAGTAACCGAACTTTCAAGGAGTGTGTCCATGTGGTTCCTTCCTGAGGCTCCTCAGGGTGCTGTTGAATGTGTTCTAAGGCCAGCCTGTTGTAAGTCTCATTGATTTCAAAGACATAGTAAAACGCTCCTGCACTTGCTAACAGATACAGTCCCACTCCAATCCATCCCATCCGCTGACGGAAGTTCATCATTCTCCATGCTCTGTGCCTTCAACAAAAAAGGAAAAAATATAGTTAGGGTCTATTAATGCTGCCATGGTAACGCCTCCAACTGTGCTTGATTTAAATTCAAGAATTCTAAATCACTCGAGCACATTTAAGATTTATTTAGAATGTTTCATTAAGAGCTGTATTACACGTGGTTGTTTTATTAGTTAGGAGAAATAAAAATACTGATTTCAGCCGGGCCTGGTGGCACAGGCCTGTAGTCTCAGCAATCAGGAGGCAGAGGCAGGCAGATCTCTGTGAGTTCAAGGCCAGCCTGGTCTCCATAGTGAGTTCCAGGCCACCTGGGGCTGTAGGGAGACCCTGTCTCAAAAAGACCAAAAAAAGTAAGAAAAAATTTTCAAAATACGTTAAGTTCTGCTACTATTTATATGAACCCCACAGAAAGAATGACTCGTCATATCCTGCTTGATGGGGGAATAGGTCAGTACACCTTCGTTTCCGATAATGGAATATCTGGCTTCCCTCAGGACATTTCACTTCACAGTGAAATGCTTTCTGGCTTAACACTGGCTTCAGATATGAACACTGGGTTCTACAAGTTAAACCAACGTCGGAGTCCCCAAGTTGAAGACAGTAACTCTTTGAAACACTTACAGTGGTCCCGGAAATCTTCCTGTTCCCCCAGCAAGCGTTAAAGAGTCACTCAGTTCTGAATAATCGGATGCCTTTGGCATTTCAGAGCAAGCCACCTTAAAAAAAATCCCCTGGGTCACCCAGCTTGGAGAAGGTAGCACCGCCGGCTGGGGGCACGAGCAAGTAGTCACCAAGTTCGGCGTGACTGCTGGTCATGCGGTGCCCGGGCCCCAGTCGCTGCCGGGGAGCCCCAGCCTGGGTCAGCCGCCCGGCAAGGTGCTCGGCCGCTGGGGCCTGGGGCCAGCGCCGCCCGCCCCCTGCAGCGCCCACCTGCCCGCCGCGCTCCAGCCGTGCAGGCGGCGCCAGGCCAGGCCCTCACCACCCTGAACTCGGCACTCGCCGGCGGCTACCCGCCCAGCCCGACTGCCGCGCTGAGCCTGTCTCGGGTCTCACCTTCCTGTCCCGAGTGGCCCGCCCGCTCACAGTACCGGATGCCGCGGAAGTCAGCTTCCGGCTTGGGGCGGAAGCGCGCGCGCCCTGCCCGTACACCGCCCCCTCGTGATGTCAGGCCGCCTGCTAGAGCCGCGGAGGCCGTCAGTGTTCCGGTGGGCACCTTCGCGGTCTGGTGACGGTGACGCGGTCGCCCGCGCATGATCTCCGGCCCCTCGCTCACGACTTTGGACTGGGAGAAGCCCCGGCAGCTCCCCAGGTACCCGAGCCGAGGCGCGTCCTCACGGGCACCTCGCGTCGGGTGCACTCCTGGGCGGTGGGTAAGGCGGCGGCCCACAGGCCCGAGGCACAGCGGGGTAGAAATCGGCAGTGCCCGCGAGAGCCCCGGGGCGGGGTGGTGTGGGGGTGTCCGCAGCGGGGCGGCCTGGGACAGGCCCTGCACGTGCTCCCCGGACCTGGACACAGTTAACTGACTGATGCTCTGTCTTCTCAGGCTCCTGGACCTTGGCGAGTAGAGACGATTGCGCAGGGTTGCTGTGAATCGCGGTGGCGTCAGCGCCCGGCAGAAATTAGGACTTAAATCTATTACTTTGGGCACCATGACGCTGAGGCTCCTAGAAGACTGGTGCAGGGGAATGGACATGAACCCTCGGAAAGCACTGTTGATTGCTGGCATCCCTCAGACCTGCGGAGTGGTGGAGATCGAGGAGGCCCTTCGGGCAGGACTAGCGCCATTGGGGGAGTACAGAGTGCTTGGGAGGATGTTTAGGAGGGATGAGAACAAGAATGTAGCCTTGATAGGGCTCACAGAAGAGACTGACCATGCTCTGGTTCCTAAGCAGATACCTGGAAAAGGAGGTGCCTGGAGAGTGATCTTTAAGCCACCTAGCCCTGACGATGAATTTTTAAACAGATTAAATGAGTTTTTAAAGGGAGAGGGTATGACCTTGGGTGAATTGACCAGAGCTCTTGGGCATGAAAATCAGCCTCTTAGCCTAGTCCAGGGCATGATCCCTGGAAGGTGGGCCCCCATGTTATCACAGGCATTAGATGTGGCTCTTCAGCCTACCCTGCAGTACCTAAGATATAAACAGCTAAGCTTATTCTCTGGCAGGGATCCTCCAGAACCAGGTGAAGAAGAATTTGAATCCTGGATGTTTCATACTACTCAGATGATGAAGATGTGGCAGGTGTCAGATGTAGAGAAAAGAAGACGATTAATAGAGAGCCTTCGAGGCCCAGCATTTGATATTATTCGAGTCCTGAAGATTAATAATCCTTTAATTACAGTTGCAGAGTGTCTGCAGGCTCTTGAAACAATATTTGGGGTTATTGATAATCCTAGGGTGTTGCAGGTCAAATATCTGACTACTTATCAGAAGGAAGATGAAAAGTTGTCTGCTTATGTTCTAAGGCTGGAGCCTTTATTACAGAAGCTGGTACAGAAGGGAGCAATTGAGAAAGAAGTTGTGAATCAGGCCCGCCTAGACCAAATTGTTGCTGGGGCAGTCCAAAGGACAGTTCGCAGACAGCTTGGACTGCCGGAGGGTAGCCCTGCCCCAGGCTTGCTGCAGTTACTGACACTGATAAAGGATAAGGAGGCAGAGGAGGAGGAGGAGGCCCTTCTCCAGGCAGGCTTAGAAGGGCATTTTACCTGACTGGGGAGACCAGAAAGGATGTCTTCGTGAATAGAGCATGATAGGTTCCAGTGATCAGCATCAACCAATCCCTACTTTGTGCTGACAAATAACTGTGCAGTTTTCAGGATAAACCCTTTGTCATGTTGTGCCTGTTGAATGTCTCCCAAATGTGTCACCAGCTCTGAAAGATGTTTTGTAGTGATAAATATTTAGATCAAAAAGTGTGTCACTCTACATGTGCTTTGTTTGGGGTGGACAGGCAAAGTTCATATGCTGCTGAGAACTTGCTAACTTGTCAGCTGTTTGGTTCAGGTATAAATGGAACCGTCACCTGTGACCATGTTGTCATAATAGTTTTCAGCTATTGCAGACATTAATGATGGAGATCCTAAGCTAAGGGTAGCGAAGATATTTTTCTGTGTAAATCAGTTGATTCTTTGCAATCAAAAGGCAGAATTGAATGCTCAGACTGGTAGGATGCTCTGTCTTTAGATTTTTGCTGTGTTACCAAAGTGTCTAGTTCTGAATATTTTCATGGTGTTAAAAAATTATGTGAACATATAAAATAAAGGAATGCTAGTAAAGTCTTTATCTTTCTTTACATTAGGGTTCTAAAAGATTTCACTTGAACAAAACTTTCTAAAGTGAACCTGAAAGCCACTGAAGTTACCCAGAGTTCTTCAGATTCTTTCCTTTTGGTGCCCAGGGATCCTGTTTATTTTGTATTTTGAGACAAAGTCTTGCGTTGTAACCCAGGCTGGTTTGGAATTTGATTTGTAGACCATGTTGGCCTCCAACACACAGAGGTCCACCTGCCTCTGCCTCCAGAAGGCTGAAATGAAAGGCATGTGCCACCATGCCTAGCAGGATCTCTCTTTTTTTTAATTTTTATTTTTTGGTCTTTTTTTGAAACAGGGTCTCCCAGTAGCCCCAGCTAGCCTGGAACTCATGATGTAGACCAGCTGGTCTGGAACTCACAGAGATCCACCTGCCTCTGCCTCCTAAGTGCTGGGACTACAGGCATGAGCCATACCTGGCTAGGATCTCTCTTTCTGTCCCCCTCCCCCTTTTTTAAGGATCTCATTTTTTAAACAGGATGAAAGAAATGACTGTACAAATTAGGGTAACTGGTAGGCCCAGCTCTTTGACTATTGAATTTGGAGCGACAAGAGAGGTGAAGGTTGCATGGCAAGTGGTCTCAGTCCTAAAAATATCTACCAACAAGCCAGGCATGGTGGTGCACACCTGTAATCCTAGCATTTGGTAAGTAGAACCAGAGGCAGGAAGGTTGAGATCAAGGCCAGCCCCTGTATAGTTAGACCCTGCCTCCAAAAGCAAATATGGGAAACAGTTTCACACTTGGGGAATGGACAACACTCGTTAAGAAAAACATGCCCAAGGTGAAATGGTAGTAAATAAGAGTTGTGCTCTTTCCTGTTCCAAGGCCCATGTTCTCCACTGCCAGGTAGGAAACAAGGGCTAATGGTGTCTAGACCAAAAAGCCTCACAGAAACAGGCAGGAGTTGGTCACTTTTCATGTGTGTAGTATTGTGTAGTTGGATGTGGAGTAGGTTACCCCAAATCAGGGATATATATTCAGTTCCTTTAGGTTCTCCCACTACAGAGTGGTATGTGGACCCATGAATAAAAAGTGTGATTCTGCCGGATGTGGTGGCACACGCCTTTAATCCCAGCACTCGGGAGGCGGAGGCAGGTGGATCTCTGAGTTCAAGGCCAGCCTGGTCTACATAGTTCCAGGACAGCTGGAGCTACAGGGAGACCCTGTCTCAAAGACCAAAAAAAAAGTGTGATTCTGCCCTTCTGTGTATTTGTATGGTATTTTGAAGCATAGCAGGCACTGTCCTACAGGACACCAGTTTAGTGAGAAGCAATGTATCTATAGTTGCTGCTAAGTGTGTAGACACACAAGTGTTAAATGCTGCACTTCTGTTTGGAGGCACTGAGCTAAGGACTTTATAATACAGAGTATCTTCCCTGCCTTGGAGGTTTATTCAAAGTCAGTAATAGTTGACGTTGGACCTGTCTTTGGCCAGGGACTGAGTACCAGCTGAGCACATTTGGTCCTATAAGTTATATTAGCAATCAGCTGGCCAGGGTCTTTTTACTCTACCTGAGTAGAAATCACGGGTAGGCCCAAAGAAGCCTTAAGGTGCTGGTCTTTGGCAGCTTTTACATCTCTTGGTGTTTGATGGTGGCAGCAGACAGGTGGGAACAGCAGGAGGTTCCCTGTAGTGTTTACAGCTCTCCTGAAGGCCTAAGCCTCTTAGCTCTCTATTAAGCTCTCCTATAGGCCCAAGTTGCTGGCACCTACTCTGCAAGTGTTAACAGCTGTTATGTAGAGTAGAAAATTGGGATTCCTTAGCCCATCACAGCAGCAGGTGCTTCTGGATGGGGCAAAGTGTGAGGATCCCTCAGCTTGAGAGGCTCCAGATAAGCTCACAGGCCTCAGGCCTCTGAGACTTTTGTCCTAAAGGCACAAAAGCTCATCCAGTGGTGACAAGGGCTTGTAGTTACTCTTCTCTGACTCTTTACAACTTTCCTCTCTGTCTCTTCAACATCAAGCAGCTGGTCACGTTGCCACTTCCACTGCCACGCCACTGCCTCTGCTGTTGCTGCCACTCTGCTCTCTGCTGCTGCTTTGTTACCATCTTAGCCTCACACTGCTAAGAACAGGAAAGGAAACACTACTCTAGGGAACCTTTTTCCCGGGGAGACAGCACAGGAGGGTATCTCCCAGCTGACTGACTGAACTCAACAGCCTGCCTATGTAGCCAGAGGAAGGATGTCTGTACCAACCAAGAAAACTTCACCTATATTTGTTTAAATTTTTTTTCTTTTCTTAAAACGTATTTTTATTTTATGTGTATGAGTGTATTGCCTGCATATATATGTGAGTGCACCCATGTGGTGCAATGCCATGCAGGTCAGAAGAGGGTGTCAGGCTCGCCTGGAACTGGAGTTAAGGATGTTCGTAGCCGCCATGTGGGTGCTGGGAATCAAACCCGGGTCCTCTGCAAAAGCCGTCAGTGCTCATAACTGCTGAGCCATCTCTCCAGCCCCTAAATTTTGTTTCTTAAAAGCCTAACTATTCCAGTCTGTGCCCCTCAGGTGCTCCTGGGAGTGGGTGTAGGTGTTCAACCTACCAGGCTTCACACCAGTAAGGAAAACTTAGAGAGAGAGGCAGGCGGATCTCTAAGTTCATGGCCAGCCTGGTCTGCATAATGAGTTCCTGGTCAGGTGGGGCTACTGGGAGACCCTGTCTCAAAAAGACCAACCCCCCAAATTATATAACCTCACATGTAAATGAAGGTTTCTGTTTTGCACCAGTCATAGCCTTGTTCGTTTAACACTAGTCCTAGCAATCACTCTGCTAAGCAGAAGTCTCTGGTAAAAGATGAAACAGCCCTGGCTGAGGCTGCAGCTTCAGGACCTGGAACAAGCAGCTACAATTGTGTAGTATTTTCAAGGTGTCAGCGGGATGTTCAAAACAGCTGGTACTGTCAGAAAGGGAATCTGGCTGGCTCTTTGATGGAGTTGTAGTTCAATGAACCACCAAGGCAGCAAAGGTGAATCCAGCAACTGCTGATTAGGGAGTCAAATTGCCCCGTCAAAAGGAGTGCTTACAATAGAAACTTAAAACAATTATTAGCACTAATAGCGATTTTTTAACATTTTAGATTTTTTATTTTTTAATATTTTATTATTTTTATTTTATGTGTATGAGTATATTGCCTGCACGTATGTGAGTGCAATGCCGCGAAGGTCAGAAGAGAGCTTTGGATTCCCCTGGAACTGAAGTTATGGACAGTTGTTAGCTGCCATGTAGATGCTGGGAATTGAACCTGGGTCTCTGCAAGAGCAGCCAGTGCTCTTAACTGCTGAGTCATCTCTCCAGGCCCCAGATTTTAGATTTTAACTGTGCTGTTTGTTTGATAGGGTCTTACTATGTAGCCCTGGCTATCCTGGAACTTGCTATGGAGAAAGGGCTGGCCTTGATCTCACAGAGATCCACCTGCGTCTGCCTCCTGAATGTTGGGATTAGAGGCTGCACTACAGCACCTCAAGCTAACAGTGCTTTAACACTGTTTATCACCTGCCCCCAGGGTCTTCCTTAACACAGTGACAGGATTTACTTTGAGGCTTCCAGAGTCCTTGATTTGCCTCTATTCTATGCTATCTTGTTAAGTCCTCACAGAAACCTGTTCATAAAACATGCTGTTTCTTTGATTTTACAGACAAGAAGCTCAAGGTTCAGAAAGATTCATGCCAGGAGCGAGAGGACACAGTGACTCCTAAGAGCCCTGTCTTTCTTTAAATATTTTTTATTTTATGTGTATGAGTGTTTTGCCTACATGTATGTAAGTGTGCGTGTGTGTGTGCAATGCCCACGGAAGTCAGAAGAAGGTATTGGATCCCCTGAAACTGGAGTTACAGATGGTTGTTAACTGCTATATGGGTGCTGGGAATCGAACCCAGGTCCTCTACAAGAGCAGCCAGTGTTTGAACCACTGAGCCATCCCTCCAACCCCGTTTATTTTTATTTTATGTGTGCAAATGTTTTCATACTTATATGTATATGTACCACCTGCGTACAGGAGCCCAAGGAGGCCAGAAAAGGGTGTTGGGGCTTCTAGCCTTGGAGTTGCAGCTGTTAGCTTCCTTGTGGGTGCTGGGAAACGAACCTGGGTCACCTGCAAGCGCAAAGAAATGAAGGTGGCATGTCAGCAGCGTAGGAGCCAGACTGGGTGAGCTCCCAGAGGTGCAATATCATAGTACCGAGTATAAAATAAACATTTATGTGTTGGTGCTGACATAAATAAGGATTGAGTAAATGAGTGTGGGAAATGGACAGATCTTTACAGAAGAATTCTGAATGATTCACGTGGGTGTGTTCCCCTTTTGGAAGCAAAGTATTTGCTTTTCCCCATAGATGTAGGCTCAACTTAGTGACTTGTTTCTAAGGAAAAGAGTATAGAAGAGGAAACTGTAACTTGGTAACTCTTCAGTGCAGAGACCTGGCACATGCTGCTGTGCCCAGGTGATCCTATTAATAGTAGAGTCACAGTGATACAGCACAGACCCCTGGTGCAATATGATGCAAGAGCATTTCACCTGCGTGCTGTTCTTCACTGGAAGCCATAACCTTGGACTAATGATGAGAAATACACCAGAGAAACCCAGCTTGAGGGACATTCAAAACTGAAATGAGAAACTGTGTGAGACTAAGGATCCGTGGTAACTACATATGATGTGGTATCCTGGAACAGATCTTGGGACAGATAAAGGACATTAGGGTAAGGTGAATGTGATAAGCACTACCCTATAGAAACTGTTAAAGGACACTAGGGAGAACGTGAAACAGGTATAGTCAGGAGCCTGACTAATAGTGTATCTTGGTTTCTTAGAGGGAACAAATATGCAGACAATGTAAAATGTTAAGGGTAGAGAAAATAGGCGCTCTGTATTGTCTTTGTGACTTTTCTTAAGTTCACAATTTTATATAAAATTCATTGAAATACATATGTAAATACATCCATCCATAAGTACATACCTCCAAATGACA